TCTATTCAAACGTTTGACGTTTTCTCTCCCACCCCTATCAGTAGCTTCCTAACACAATCTAAGAGGATTTATTTACTATGTATTCTTTGGTTATTTACTACAAAATGGCCGCATAAACTTTTAGTAAATAACATTTATGTACAATATTTTGATCTATTAATGGTATTATTTTAAGTAAATTAGGCATCGTGATCAGAAAAAAAATAAACGATGTAGATCGTGAGTTATTGTTGATATTACAAAAGAAATTTATTATTAATAATACAAAAGAAATTTTAATATTATTAACTTATTTTTTATATATCCATTAGTAGATTTCAAATTGACTGTCTTGTCTGTATTTTTCTCAGATTTATTTGAAACTGTTTCTTATGGCAAAACTTTTTACTGTAGGAGATTACATTGTATTCATTTTTATTTTTTAAATGTTGATGAATTTTCTCTAAAATTTATCATGGTGAAAGAAATATAAGTTGTATTTTAAATAACATTTATATTGGATATATCCTTAAAGATTTATGTTTAGGCTCTAATAAATAATTTAAAAAAATCATTGGCGGGAAAAGAATTTTATTTTATTTTATTAAAGAATAAATAAATTTTATTTCCTTGATTGTAGAATTCAAACATGAAACATCGACGACTTTTTGGTAGTATTTTTTAAACTATTTAGGAAAAAATGCTTATGTCTTTTAATTTCCAAGATTCTAAATTTATTTTGATAATAGTACTTTAAAATATAATAAAATTGAAATGACATCCTTGTAGATTTTATAAATAAATTTGGTATGAAAAAAAGGTTAAGTCGGCACAACTGGAGTTGCAATAATATTTCTAAGAAAGTAATTTGGGATTAAATTAATTTGTTACCATGAAGACTTCTTCTTGTTCAATTTTATTTCAGTTTTATAAATTAATAAGAATATCTTTAAACACGCCTTCACATGTCCATCCATTTATTTTCTTAATTTAGCGTTTCCATTATACAATAACAATTTTCTATTGCTTAACATTTAGCTTTTACGAATGAAGGAGATGGTCCGGGGTGGCGGTCATAAATAGGCTAAATAGTGGCAAAACTATTTTATTAAAAGCCAACGTTTCGACCCGACTTTGCAGGTCTTCTTCAGGAAGGTGTGTTCAGCTAGGAGTTTCACTTAGAACTGAATTTCACTCTTAACATCGAAACGTTGGCTTTTAAGAAAATAGTTTTGCCATTATTTAGCCTATTTATGACCGCCATCCTGGACCATCTTAGTTCAATAGATGAAGTCTTAGTTCAATAGAAGACCGAGTAATGTTAATACTCAAGAGAAAAAAAAAAAGAGTTGAACAAAATGATTAGGAAGTCGATAAAATAAGGTTTTTAATTTATAATATTATTTAATGCTTTTCAATATTTGAAGTAATATTACAATATTTCTAGAAATTAACTCAAATCTATAATAATTATTTAAAATATAAAAAATTGCGAAATGTCACACTTGATCGCAAGGTAAGTGCTGCGCTCTATGTCTGAATTTTGAACTATTAATGATTAGGCGGGCAGTATTTTAAAATTTCATAATCCAACATTTGTTAAATATTTAAATTATACGTTTTAGCCTCAAAAATCGCCCTTTCAAAATCTGGATTCTCTTTAGCAATACTTTGGTATTTAGATTATTTGTCAATGTAGATGGGCCCAAATAACCAAATGATCGGTTACATTCGGTACATATTAAGTAAAGTAATAAACCAAGTTATTTTAAAAACTAACGAGGTATAAAAACTAGATATATGGAGTTATTTGGTTCTGTCAATGGTCCATTTTTACTTTAAGAATTATTTTAAGTAAAAAACAGTTATTTTCAAACAGTCCCTTCTTCCTACTGTGTACATGCAAAATTTTAAATTCAAATACATAGTAACTATTAGAAGAATAAACTTACTGAAGCGTAACGCAGGGGCTAAGAAAGATATTTTAAACAATTTTTCATTTTTTCAGGGTTTTTTCTTTTACTTAAAAATAGTTATAAATATAAAAATTGGTATTTATATATGTATCATTTTGTTTCTCAACAAAAAAATTATTTCAATCTCTAAAAAATTCACAAACAACCAATGAAATTTGTATCATTCTTGAATAAACAAAGTTTGTCATTTAAGTAACTGGAGTGATTATTATATTTATTTGGAATGAATAAATTTCATTATAAAAAAAATTAATCATTTACATTTAAATAAATTTTAATCATAACATTATTTAGACCATGGATTTTAAATCTCTTGTGTGGCTTTTAAATCCTCAATAAAGGTGATGATATGTAAATTTTTATATAATGTTAAAATTCATAAAATATTCAAATAACGAAACCTCTTAATTGAATTTTATTATGAGACATTAGATAAAACTAGACTTCCCGAAAATTCAGTGGAAATAGTTATGAAAGAAATGGATAATTTTTTATTTGTAGATATCCCAAACATTTTTTTTAAAAAGAAACAGAGATTGGTATTTAGCACCCTGAATAACTCTCAAATACGAATTTTAAAAGCAAGCGAAAAATAAAACTGTTTTTCTTCGAATTTTCACCAAGGCTAAAGCCTTAGTTGTTTTTTTCACGAATATCACTAAAAATTAGATAACAATGGATTCTGACAAATAAGGTATCAAATGAAAGAGTATTTGATGGAGACATTAAGAAGAATAGTCACATCTTCCCGAAAGTTCAGTGGAAATAGTTATTAATAGTTTAAACTAAAAATTATTAATAAATAAGCCGCATAAATTGCAAAAACTTAATAAGTAAATTTTTAATGAAATAATTATTCTAAGAAAGTTTTTGTGAATTTCGAATTTTTTGATTGATGTAAAAGCGCAGAAAAATGACAAAAGCCCTTTTATATATCGAAAATAGTTAGAATAAAAATGCATAATGTTTTGATTTCATAGAGAGAAAATTCATCAAAATACTTTGTGATATAATTTTATAAATTGACACTTGATGCCCGTTGTAATTAACCCACGATATATAAATAAATTAAATTTTTATTTGATCTCGTTGAAAAAAAAAACATAAAAAAAACATCTGGTGTGTCCACTCACACGACTTTCCTACCTATTTCAGAAAAGTTTTTATATCTTTACATATGTTCATGAAGAAACAAAAAAGAATTGAACTAAATTTACTTTCCTGAAAATTAAACAAACAAAAGATTTCAGTACGATTTATTTCATAAATTAAGGCAATGAAACCAGCTTAAGGTAGATCAGTGTAAAAATTTCAATACTCACTAATATTGCTGATCAAAAACTTTTTGCCATAGCTTAGTATTGTCAAACAATAATTTATGTAAAAAGTAGAGGAAATAGTGAAGGTTGTGTGATGCGGGCACAGAATTTCTAAATTTCACTTAGTCATCTTTATTCTCTTATTCAGTCATTTCTGACACCAGGAAATGAACTCGTAATCTTTCATTAAGAATTAAATCGCTGCAACTTCGTTAATAGTTGTCCAAAATGAACGATTTTTATATAGTTTTGTAGGGAATTTAATTACCTTTCAAACGATAGGCTAAACGGCGTTCGGACGGGGCTGTGAAACGTATAGATCCGTCGAAAACCGCATGTCGGAAATTTGACCCGATTGCAATATTTTCCTTACCTAGTATAGGTAGGAAAGTAAAAATTGAAAAAGAATATATTATTCGTCGAAGAAAAGAAGATAAAAAAACGATTTTATAGAAATGATAAAAAAAAAACAAAAAACAATCTCTTTGGAATAAATTATTGAAAGCCAAATATTCCGAATTATGCACTAATGCAAAATATTGTAATTACTTATGAAATAAACCGTAAAAATCATGTTGGATGTTGAGAGCACTAATTTTATTTTAAATGGACATGAAAGTCTCCAATATTAGTGTTAATTTCAAATAGTTTTAAGCAGCTTCAAAAATTCAAATTAAAAAAAAAAAAATGAATGCCTTTCATATCGTTCTGCTTCGATAACCTGCTCTCCTTCTTAAGCTCTTACGCTGTATTACAGATCATCTTTCCAAAATATTTACAATAAATAAATAGGAAATTAAAATAAGTTTGTATAATGTTTTTTTTTTTTTTTTTCCAGATCCTACATTTTATTTTTTATCTATTACATATATATTAAAGGCAGTTAGTCGAATGTTCTACATATCATGGGTGATAAATATTCAGGAAGCAGTCATTATAAAGTTTGTATTAGTGCCGACGTTTCAACCCAAACATGTGGATCATCATCAGGGCGTGTTTCGAGCACTGAAAGTATTCAAGTACACACACACACACACACACACACACACACACACACACACCATATATATATATATATATATATATATATATATATATGAGTACTTAAATACCTTGAAGGAGTACTTGAATACCTTCAGTGTTCGAAACACGCATGTTTGGGCTGAAACGTCGGCACTAAAAAAAGACTTTATAATGACTGCGTCCTGAATATTTATCACCCATATTACATACAGCATCAATATACAGGGTGTTTCAGGGTTAAGTGGCCAAACTGCAGAAATGAACTAAGGACCTCAAAACAAGAAAAAAAAATTCCTCTGCAGAGTATGTACACAAACGCTTTGTTTGATAGATATTCACACCTAAAGATTTACGTATAATAACCTAGTTATTTGTTCTAACTAATTTATTAATTAAATGTAAACATAAGGTCCTTGGTTTATTTTTGCAGTTTGGCCACTTAATCCTGAAACATCCTGTTTATCTTTGAATATTATATTGTATGTACCCATATGTGTATAATGAGTAAACAATATATTTCGACACAGTAAAAGCAATTAAACATGTATATAATAATAACGTAGGAAATGATATCTATAAATGATACATTTTAAATGAATTAAAATACTGCAAAACATTTTCCTATCATCCATAGTAAAAATTTAAATGATAAGTAATAACATATAGTTCAGTAACATATGGTATTTTATTAATTATCACTAACCTTTAGTGAGCTGATATATCCCAGCCAATATAATGATGAAAAGCGCCAACAACTTAGCAAACGTGAAGTAGTCCTGAACCTTCGTTGCCCAACCGACGTCATAGCAGTTTATGAATGTGAGCAGCACTAAAAATAAAATAATAAATAATGTAATATTAATAATAATAAAGTAAATAATTATATTAAGTAAGTTTTATAAAAATAGAAAAAGTACAATCTATTAAAATCAGTGTATGAGATATAACAGAGTTTCTCAAATCAAATTATTAAATAAAAAAATTGAGTGATTTCGGTCCATCATAGCTCCATGTGTAGGTGATTATCTGATTGTAAAAAAAACATTGAAAACAATTGTGTAAACACTCTATGAAGCCTGAGTGTGACCCAGGAAGGTCTTTTTTCCTTAGAGTGGATCCACGACTGACGTAAGAGAATAAATAATTACTTGCTATAGCTGGACTCGAAAAAGAAACAAGTAATTGACTCTTTTGTTCTTTTTGCCAATCCCCTTCCGATTTGTGCTGCCAACCAGCATTAACTTGAATGGGAATATCTACATCATCTCATTGAAGTAATTATCCATTCATCAATGAAAAATATAGCCTTAAATAGTGACTGAATTATCTTTCAAACCACGTGTCTATAGATATCAATCTAACTTTATTATCTTCCTAGTATAAATGACCTTAAGCACAACTGACAATAAACATCCATCAATGATTAGATCATCGGTAAAAACAATTTTCTATGACGAGTTTATAGTCCGTCGTACAGACCCATTTTTATCGAACTATTAACATCCGTCGGAAACTTCGTAAATAGTTTCATCTCATCGTAACCTACAACTATTTTATTTACGAAAACTCTTGGAATTGGGGCGTTTTCAATCTGGAGGGGGACAAAATTTGTCTATTTAATTAAGTACTAAAAGCTCGTAAATAACCGTTTGCTTCCCGCTTTAATCGTAAGATAACTTGGACACAAAGTCGAGAAAAAAGGTGGCCTTCAAAAATATTGAGCTTGTTCTATATAACCTCGTTATTTTGAAAATGTAGTTCACGCCAAACGGCTCAATATTTTTGAAGGCCGCCTTTTTTATGAATTTTGTGATCAAATTATCTTACGATCCAAGTAGAAAGCAAATGAGTATTTACGATTTTTTAGTACCTAATTAAATAGACAAAGTTTGCCCTCCTCCAGGTTGAAAACACCTCAATTCCAAGAGTTTTCGTAAATAAAATAGTTGTAGGTTACGATGAAATGAAACTATTTACGAAGTCTCAGGCGGATGTTAATAATTAGATAAAAATGAGTCTGAACCACTGACTATTATACAATATAAAAAATAAATTGTAGATATTACAGGCACTATTTCACTATTAAACTAACAAATAAAAGAAAATAAGTTCAAACAAGTTGTTACTACGATACTAGTGGCACTAGATTTCCAGACCTCAAAATCTTAAAAAGAGGTCTTGGAGTTTCGTAAATCAAATACTAATTGCCATAACCAGATCAAACCTATTGATTTTGCCAGATTGGGTATAGGCAACCGTTTTTTAAAATTAATATGAGTATTTTCCTTAATATTTACATCATAGATAAGGCTTTTGTATTGGAAAATAAAAATGTGTAATTTAAGGTTGATCTATATTAATAAAATCGTAAATGTGTGTTAGTTCAAAACCGCTAATTCTTCACCGATTGCTTTGAAATATCGACATAACGTTCCTATCGGATTCAGGAGTGTTTTTATATACATTTAAACACCCTGCGGTCTTTCGTTTCGGAAAGGCTGTCGTGTGTCGCTATAGACTGTAGCGCCTAAGCGGCTGTAACGATTTTAATTAAACTTGGCTAAAGCCTTCTTCTTGAAGCACTTTTAATTTATGTATATAACATCCTTCCCCGGAAAGAGTATGAAAAAAAATTTGCGACGGGTTCAAAACTATATCTGCGAATAACTCGAAAAGTACACATTTTTTATTTTACCCATCATTATTTGAAAGCTTTCTTGATTCCCTGCAAATAAATGACTAAATTCGGACGATTTGGTGCAGAGATGTAATGCTTTAATCTTTTAGTAATTTTTCTTGGGATATTTAGAGATCGATTGCTTCTTAGATAGACAATTTATGTTCCGAATTCTACAGTTGGAAAATCAGGCAATCCATACAAAGAATGGAACAAGAAAGAATATCGCATGTTCACAAGTATTGTTACATAAAATATATTAGAAACATCTGATTTATTTTCTATTTCTTTTTTATTCAACCAGAATGAGCCACAGCAACGCGTGGCCGAGTACAGCTCGGTATAAATAAAAACTGAACAAAAGACAGATGGTTTTTGAAGGTATTTACCAGTTAAATGAACTAAAGTTGAAAATTTTCGTATACAAATAATAAAAATATAGTAAAGAGTATTAACTTCAAACAGTTAATATTTAACTCAAATTCGAAGAAAATGGAACTACAGTTTTTATTTTTATAACTATTATTTTTCAGTTTAAATAGAATAAAGTAATAAAAAACCAGATACTGTTCGTTAGTTACCCATCACTAATCACCCATCACAACCTCCTAATAAAACCATTTTCAATCAATGGGCCATTAAAGAACCTGCCAAGCTTTATCAACATTGTTTTTAACTCGAGTGCAATTTGAATATGCATGAGGTCAATCAGTAATCTCTTGATTAATTTACAGCTTACAATGTTAAAAAACAAGCCAAAAGACTTAAATAATTTTCATGAAACAGTACTATAAAACAAATTTTTTGATAGCACAATATATGTATACATATAAATGTCAAAAGAAACAAAATATGAATTTAAATGGAAACGTACGCTTTTTTTTTTAATCCGGTAAAATTATATGTACGAAGATATTAGGTATGAAATTTTGTGTAACTGAACTGAATTATCCGAGACCTTGAGCTATCAGGAAATTTGAATTATCAAGAGGGAAGAAAAAATATTCGAATTATTAAGAGTTTATATTATAAATTTGAAAATATGTATGAACTTAAATAAATTTTAAATTCATACATATTTAAACAGTTTTAAACAGGCCAGTGTTTCAACTGCCTACCGCAGTGCCACATCGCACGCCCTGATGAAGACCTGCAAGGTGGGTCGAAACGTCGGCATAATAATTAAATAATACTATTTCTATAATTTAGTATTCATTTAACCGCACTTTCCGATCAACTCCTCATTAAATAAATTTTGCTTACAAATAACCTCATGTAAAAAATATTACTAAGAAAATTTTGAATTATAAAGGGGGAAGTAATCTAGTTCGAATTATATAACATTCTCTCCTCCTCTTCTTGCAAAAAGAATTAAACGAGTTATCAAACTATCAAAATGCAGTATTTTTTTCGATTAACCGAAATTAACATATGTAGAGTTTGAATTAACGAAATTTAATTTTCGATATTCGACGGTATTTAATATGATTATTAACTATTATCTTATTTATTTATTTTTGACGTATTCTGCCATTTGTAGCTGCGCTGCAGCGCACCTAGCAAATTTGATATATTACTGGTTAGTTGTGAGTTTTCTTGGTTAGTTTCATTTTGTATTTATTGTAGTAGGTCCCTCGGCCATTTTCTTTTTAATCTGCGACGATCAGGAACGGGGAGCATAAAATAGAAAGGACTAATGGATTGAAGTGATTTAGAATTGAAGAGTGAAATGAAGAGTATTTGCCGTGGACAAAACGATTTTACAGTTGGGATGTTCAAGTCGTTATGTATAGTGTTATTTGAAAGGTGCGTTGACAATTTTTCGTAGAATATTTTTTATTGTGTTATTTGTATTTTGTTTATGAAAATGAAAATGAAAATGAAAATATTTTTTTATTATCCTGGGACTGTTGTCCCTTTAGGATAACTTACAGATACAGAATAAATGCCTGTGTGGCCATACATAAAATTGATTATTTACATTTATTATTAAGATTAAGATTTTGAAAAAATAATAAAACAAAAAATATAACTAATACACTAAAAACATTCTGATATGTATAATACAAACTATATAATAAAATAAAATAGCATAAGCAAAGAAAATAATTTCTGGGGGAACTTTAAAAGTTCTCTTATCTACATTTCATGATCAATCGGGTTGAAAAAGGAGTATGTGCTTAAAAAGGAGAGATTTAAATGAGGAAACTGATTCTGTTTATGTGTGTTTGTTTTGCCGAACCTCAAAGTTCTGCTCCGTGTGTCCAAATTGGTCTCAGTATGATGTTGTAGATTAGTAGCTTGTTTCGTATGCTAAGTGAGGATCTGTGTCCAGAAGATGTGAGAGTTAGTTATATCGTCTAGTCATTTCTTGTCTTTTTAATTTAGTATGTATGTTCCAGGTAAGCCTTTTATCTAAGTAGATTCCGAGGTACCGTTCCTAGATAAATAAATAAAAGATATAAATAAATAAATAAATAATAGATAAATAAAAACCGGTAACTATAAGAAAATGTATTGTTGAAGAGTGGAGACTGACATGTTCCATTCCAAGAGGGCGCCATGGGAAATTAAATGGGGACCACTAAGAGAATCTTATCAATCCCCCTGACCCACTAATCAAGTTTCTAATTACATTCAAGTCCTCAGCAGCCCAGCTAATAGCCAAGTGCTTAATCTTCGCCCTCGAATATAGCAATCATCCATCCTATATTAAATTTTAACTGTATTTTTCTCATCTATATTTTACTAAAAAAACAAAAAAAACAATTATAATATTATTTAAGGCGGTTGAAATATTGAAATCTTTATTAGCTTTTATGATATGACAATAATCTTACTGCTTATATAAAAAGATATTTTTTTTTTTAGTCATACTTATTGAAATATACAACCATATTACATGAAAATACAACTAGTAAATTTGAAATTGGGAACATATCATCTAAAATATGAAGAGAAACTACCCATTGGTAGCACTCCAATTATATTTCTATATTAGAAGGTCACGAGGCCATCTTCTTTTCAGACGCCTCGGAGGGTTTTCAGGAATAGGCGAAGAAGCAAGGTCAGAAAGAGTGGGTTCGGATGGTTCAGAAGCTTATTATGGAAGGATAGGTATCTGGATTGAGCTAAATCGGAAACATAAGAAA